TATTTTTGTTTTGGCCTTTTTGTATTTGATCGACAGATTCAGATCGCCTGTGCTTTTAATGTAATATCGTTGATGGAATACAAAAATGAATTTTCTTTTGAATCTTCCTTGCATTTTCTGTATATCTCTATTTACAACTGTTAAATAACACCTTGAGCGAAATAACATTACACACGTTAACTGTAAAACTTTCTAAGATTCTGTACATTCCAAAGGTAAGGTAACTGACGCCCGTGTATATCTGCTAACACGTAAGAGCCAGGTCGCTTAACTTGAACAACCATATAGGGGCCTTCCCAATTGGGAGCGAGCTTGCCCATGTGCGAATGAATGTTAGTTAACCCAGCTTTACGTAGGACCAAGTCGCCAACTTGAAACTGGCGAGCTCGAACCCTTTTATTGTAAAATTTTGCAACGCGACTTTGATGTGCCACGTTTCTTATTCTAGACATCTCCCTGACTTCTTCTACAAAGTCTAGATTCTCTCTCAAAAGTTGCTCGTTGTTGAGGTCGTCATACCGGCCTGCTCGTTCAGATGGCAATCCGACTTCTACTGGGATGACGGCCTCGGCTTCATAGGCTAGGCTGAAAGGGGTTTCGCCTGTGGCCGAGCTGGGCGTGGTGCAACAAGACCAAAGCACTTTGTTGAGCTCGTCAACCCAATTAGAATGCGCAGCCAAAACACGCGTCTTGAGTGATCTGTACTGTGGAGTATACACAGACGTCAGAGCGAGCTCAATGCCATAATCGTCACAAAACAACCTCAGTGCTGCTGCTCGGAACTGTGGCCCATTGTCGGCGATAATTCGCTTAGGTATGCCGAACCTGCACACAGATTAGCGAGCTGAGCTACAAATCACGTTTGCATATATTTTATGACCTCGGTCACCAAAGAATACCTACACAGTATTGAATTGAACAAGAATTCTTCTATTTTTCTTTCTGTTGTCGTGGACAGTGGCTTGGCTTCTATCCACTTAGTAAAGTAATCCACTGCAACGACCAGGAAAGTACAGCCTCCTTTGCCTTTGATAAAAGGGCCGAACAGGTCGACACCCCACTGAGCAAAGGGCCAGGGGGACGCGAGAGATGATAGCATTTCCCCTGTTTCAAGAAAGACACTCATGCTTAGTTTAGAGACAAACACGGGGTTTGCACGTTCTCTAGAATAGGCTCAGGTACCTGGCATGTGTATATCATCGCATTGAACTGGCAGGTCGGACATTTTTTGACATAGTTCTGCGCGTCATCAACCATAGTGGGCCAGTAATAACCATGCCTCAGGAGTTTCCGAGCTAAAGTTTTGCCACCGATGTGCGTGCCACATACTCCTTCGTGCACTTCTCTGACAGCATATTCAGCTTCGTAAGGAGTAAGGCAGCGTAATAGGGGCATTGAGGCTGCTCGTTTGTAGAGCTGGCTATCTAACAAAGTGAAATGTGCCACCCTGCGTTTAATCAACTTCGCAGCGGACAGGTCTTCAGGCAGCTCGCCGCTTTGCAGATAATTTATGAGCGGTGTAGTCCAGCTCGGTGTAGAGGGATCTGTACTGAGTAGTTGACAGTCGACTGTGAAATCAGTGTAACTTGGTGCGTCGAGCACCTCGATGATTGTTGATCTTTGAGGGTTAATGTCCTGCGAGGAGGCCAACTTTGACAGCTCGTCAGCTCAGTGGTTATCTGCCCGTGGTATTTTGTCGATCTGAAATGAAGCGAACCTTGACTTCAATCTGTTGACCACAGAGGCATAACGACTGAGCTGGGGATCCCTGATGTCGGACCTGCCATTCACCTGGCCGACAACAAGCTGAGAGTCACTGAAGACCTGAATGCTTTGTACCTTCAGCTCGGCCGCTAGCTTCAGTCCGTAAATGAGGGCTTCATATTCTGCAACATTATTGGTTGTCTGAAACTTAAACCTCAGTGCGTGCTCAGACTTAAAGCCATCAGGGCCCAGTAACAGAGCTCCAGCACCTGATCCTTCGGCATTAGCAGCTCCATCTACATACAAAACCCAGACTGGGTGCTCAGGTGCTTTTTCTTCCTTAGTTGCTGAAATGCATTCCACCAGAAAGTCTGCAACGACCTGGCCCTTTACGGCTGTACGCGGCTGAAATTTGAGGGCATATTCACTCAGCTCGACACTCCACCCAATAAGCCGACCAGAGAGCTCAGGTTTCTGCAATATTTATCTTAATAGCAAATCAGTATAGACGACAATCTGATGTGACTGGAAATAAGCCCTCAACTTACGAGCTGTATACACCAGGGCAAATGCAGCCTTTTCTGCTAATGGGTAGTTCTGCTCGGCACCTTGTAACACCTTGCTCACGTAGCAGATAGGCTTCTGATGTTTATCCTCCTCCCTTAGTAGTACTGAACTCACTGCTTCTTCTGTGACCCCCAGATAAAGGTATAAGCATTCTCCGTTGACAGGCTTGGACAGCAGGGGTGCGGATGCCAAATATCGTTTGAGTTCGTCAAAGGCCTGTTGACATTCATTAGTCCACTGGAAGTTCTTAGGCTCCCGCAGAGCTTTGAAAAACGGAAGGCATCTTTCTGCCGATCTGGCTATAAACCGGTGCAACGCAGCAACACGGCCCGTCAAACGCTGCACGTCCTTGACAGTTCTTGGTGGCTCCATCTGCTGAACGGCCTCAACCTTTTCTGGATTTACCTCAATTCCTTTCTGGGATACTACGTATCCTAGGAATTTTCCCGACTCTACAGCAAATGTGCATTTCAAGGGATTCAGCTTCATTTGTGCTCGGCGCAAGTTTTGAAAAGTTTCATCCAGGTCGCCAATGTGATCCTCAGCTCGCACGCTGGTGACTATCATGTCATCTACATACACTTCTATGTTCCTGCCGATCTGGAGCTTAAAGATGATCTGGACCAGCTTCTGGTATGTTGCTCCGGCATTTTTGAGGCCGAACGGCATCATGACATAGCAGTAGATAGCGTCCCCCGCGTAGAAAGCTGTTTTCTCTTGGTCGTCCAACAGCAACTGAACCTGGTGATAGCCCGAGCTGGCGTCGAGAAAACTCATCCGTGCATGCCCAGCTGCCCGCTCCACTAACTTCTCGATGTTTGGCAAGGGATGAGGGTCTTTTGGACACGCATCATTGAGGTTGGTGAAGTCAATACACATCCTCCACTTGCCATTTGGCTTTTTGACGAGCACAGGGTTGGACACCCATTCAGAGTACTCCACTCTTCTAATGAAGCCCGCCTGTAACAGCTTTTGTATCTCCTCGTCTATGGCGACTTGTTTCTCTAGGCCAAAAAGGCGACGTTTCTGCACCACTGGCCTTCTGGTAGGATCTGTGCTGAGTTTGTGGACTGTTAACTCTGCCGGGATGCCAGGCATTTCATCAGTAGTCCACGCGAACACGTCTTGATTGACCCTCAAAAACTCCAGAAGCTCTGCTCGTTCTTCTTCCGTGAGTTTGGTGCCTACCTTTATTGTTCTTTCTGGCACATCAGGGTTTAAAGGAACGGTTTCCACTGGCTTTACCGGCTCTGCTTTCTGCTCGACACCCTCAGGTCTATGCTCAATGTCCGATATGCTCATTGTCTGCTGGCTGGGCTGAGTCGGCCTACTACTTCCAGATCCTCCAGGGGCTACAGCGAGCTCAACCTTCTTAAACGTGTCCTGATAACATGCCCTGGCCATCTTCTAGTTCCCCTTCAGCACTCCGACCCCCTGAGGAGTTGGGAACTTCATACAGAGGTGGGGCTGTGAGATAATAGCCTTCAGCTCGCATAGGGTGACTCTTCCTAGTATAGCATTGAAAGCTGATTCCATCTTAACGACCAGGAAGGTGACCGAAGCCATCTTGAAGCGCGGTTCTGAGCCCACATATATAGGAAGGGTAATAACTCCTTCAACTGGGACGGGCTGGTTATCAAACCCGTATATTGGCCCTTCATGCTTCTG